AATGTTATTGCAAAATGACAATAATTGACTATTCAAAAGGTATTTATATCTAAGTATCATCCTCGTAGGTTGTCAGTTTCCTAAAGTCGTGGATTTCTTCACTATCTTGGTGCTTATCAGACAATTAATTATGTGCTGACAGGGAAACTATTTCTGAAAGGCAATTTGGTAAAATGTATCAGAAAAAAAAACCTTTAAAATATACTTATTTCTTGACTCATCTATTCCAATTGAAGGAATAATCACTTCAAGTGTAAAAAATGTATGAGCAGAGAGACTCCCTGAAATGATCTGTAACAGCAAACAATTAAAAACAATTATCCAGCAATATTTCTTCATATGCTATAAGAGAGCATGCATTCATGGTTTTTATAATTTAAATCTAAACAAAACAAGGAAGAATAAATAATCACATTATAAATCCAGTTTAGAAAAATATAATTTATGGTATGATCTCATTTCTAATATGAAGGGGGACAGACATGAACAGCTTAGTGGGGTTATATCTGGGTGGTAAAATTATAGCTAATTTTTCCCTTTAATTTGCCTATTAGGAATTCTAACTTTTATACTGTGAAATGTATTGTTTTGTATTAAAAGCACTCAAAAAGTGACTTTCCCTGTGGAAATAAAAAGTGTCATCTTGATTCGGATTTATAGCAACTTAATTATTAGTTGATGAGCTGGCATTCTGCAGTTCTTAATAAGTAGATATGCATAATATGCTCAAGTACACACACATATACATATGATGAAATGATGGTCTTCATAGCAAGCCAGCATTTTTCAGTTCTAGATTAAAATTTCAATGCCACCTTGCAAATAAGTATCTAAAAGTAAGTATCTACAGGTTCACACTGGAGCATCTGCAGTACATTCACACACACCAAGAAAAAAAAAAGAGGCGTTTTGGTCTACTGAATGGACACCAATGGGAAAGCAGAATTTTAATTGTATCATTCACTTTATACTGTTTTCATTTATTAGTTGGACGGTGGTTTCTTATGACTTCATTGGTATGACTGAGCAAAAGCCTTGGCTTACCATTTAAACTGGTTTAATGGTCAGTTCAACTTGTTGCTATGCTGTGTCAATGGACTGCAGAAATTCCCCATGAAGTTGACCCCACAGTCAGACCGACCCTGCCACATCCAATTTGGATGTATCACCCAGACACGACCTTTGGCAAAGACTCACTCACTCAGTTTTTCCACAGTCTCATTTCTTGAACCTTATTAATTTCTATTTGATATGTTTTCTGACACAAAAGACAATAAAAATATATTGTCATTTATGAAAAAATGACATTTCTTTTTAGTTTCAATTACAAGATGTAGAAAACACAGGGAGATCAAAAGGGACCTTTCACGCAGCCAGTGTTTCTTCTCTCACTGTAGGGAGTGGCTACCGCAGGTGAATCATTAGGATGGAGAGTTTCTACTCTAGTTTCTGCCAGAAGCTGTGTTAACAAAAAAAAAAAAAATCCACGTAGACTACACCAGAAAGCCAATGCTATAGCTTGTCCCTGGAACATATAACTAGTGGGTTTAATGCTGGAGAGAATGTTGGCATGAAAGTCTGAGAATCAAGCAGAGTTATGAGAAACCCAGAGCTGTGATTCTGTTGATCTGAAGGCATGGAATTGGGGTCTCTGGAGTAGACACTCTGGGGAGGTGGAAAACAACTCATTTGAGGCATATGACACTGTAGCAGACACCCAGATGTCACCTGGTTACCTTTATAACAAGGACTTCTGAACATAATAAATGGTAACTTATCTCTGGAGTAACTCCCAGTTCAATTGTTTTTCTGGGATTTATCGTTTCTCAGAATACAGGTTCTTTAAACGGTATATTCTGTCAAAAATGTGACTTATCACCAGGAACGGTGGTGCACACACCTGTAATCCCAGAGGCTCGGAAGGCTGAGGCAGGAGGATTGTGAGTTCAAAGCCAGTCTCAGCAACTTAGTGAGACCCTGTCTCTAAATAAAATACCAAAAGGGCTGGGGATGTGGCTCAGTGGTTAAGTGCCCCTGGGTTCAATCCCTGGTACCATTATTTAATTAATTAACATTAATTAATTAATAATTATTGAGTATAATTCATTATTAATTGATTATTTAGTATCATTATTATTATCAACTAATAACTCTGCACCATTCCTCACTGGATTTCTCTCTCTTACTACCGTCCAAGTGAAAAAGCCTATCTACAACCGGACAGAAAGGTAGGCCACCCATAGGCAGAGACAGGACAAGGACCTTGGAGGAGAAGGGAAGGAGAGAATGAGACAATGCCATCCTAGTCTGGAGAGCATCTGGTCCCTGCCCCTGACAGCTTCAACCACAGTGGCTCTACCTTAATCACCCCTAGCAATGGCCAACCCCAAAATCTTCTCTAAAACACTTCCTCTTGTGCCAACAAACTCTCGCCCCACTCTTGTACTGAAAAGCTTAGAGATCAATTTTCTCCCAATTTGTCGAAGAACATGAAACAGAGTTGACTGACCTCTTTCTGAATCCTGTATTTACATGTCATCATACCAATCAAACAAAGGGACAGAGGAAACCCATAAAAACAGTAACACAGCCACATTAATGTTTATGGCAGCTCAATTCACAATAGCTAAGCTATGAAACCAACTTAGGTACCCTTCAACAGATGAATACATAAAGAAAATGTGTTATATATACACAATGGAATATTACTCAGCCTTAAAGAATGAAATCATGGCATTTGCTGATAAATGGAAGGCCAAATGTTCTCTCTGATATGTGGATGCTAATTCACAATGGGGTGTGGTGTGGGGGAAGAATAGTTGTATTTTTAACTACACAGAGAGTAGTGAAGGAAGGGGAAAAGGTATGGGGGTAGGAACGATCATAGAATGAATCACACATTATAACTCTATGTGCATATATGATTATATGACCTGTGTAACTCTACTCCATGTACAACCAGATGAATGAGAAGTTATACTCCGTCTATGTATGATGTGTCAAAATGCATTCTCCTGTCACGTATAACTAATTAGAACAAACAAATAAGCAGATAGATAGATAATAAAGGTATACTTTGCTTAAAAACAAAACAAAACCTTAGATAACAGATATTCATGGGCAATCTCTCTTGGGACCCCTCCCTTTTCAAGTGATCTACTTTCTTCTATCACTCTAATAAATCCTTATTTCACTCTCACCCTAGTGTCTGTGGATCTCATTCTTCAAATTCACAAGACAAAGAACTCACCCAACCACATTCCGTGTTACACAACTACCTATTTTGAAAACCATTCTGGTCAATCCAGTCAATATTTTTTTTTTAATCAACCACACTTTTCAAGATTTGGTGTGTTACATTTTAAAATAGGATTTACTTTAAAACAATCAACAGATTTTTATTGAGAAAAGCAAGAAAAAAAAAATCTAAAAAAGCAAACTGAAGATTTGACCTTGTGAACTACAGCCTATTCTGCTCTCGGTCCTTTATTCCTGGTTCTAAGAGAAACAGAATCGTGCCACTTGGATCAGTGAGGAGGAAAGGATGTTCCAAGGAGGCTCATGGTCAAGGGGACTCGGGAAACACTAGGTCATTCCTGTCCCCATGGAAACTCACATCTTCTACCTTCCATATGAAGGATTCTGTGACCCAGCAATAAATGTTTGAGACTTTCCTTACCCCAGTGCTCCTATCTACTAAAAATCTGTATTTGATAAACCCCAGCTAAGCTTAAAGGGAGATAATGTGAAGACTACTTTCCAATAGAAATAAAATGGGAGCTAGATAAGTCATTTTTAAATTTTCTTAAGGCCACATAAGTACAAAATCAAAAGAGCTGGAATTGATTTTACTAGCGTTTCATGTAACTCAATATATACAAAACAATACTTCAACATAAAATCCATGCAAAATTATTAAAGAGATATCTTACATTGTGTTCTAATAATAATTCTTTGACAACTGGTGTGCTCTACACTAAAGGAACATCTCAATTCAGACTAGACACATTTCAAGTGCTCAAGAACTACTGTGATCTGGGGCTACCTTCATGAGCAGAGTACACAAATAAATGACATGAATCTGAACGTTTAAAAGTCATCATATTTAACCAAAATGTGCACACAATAATTACGTATTAACATTGATTATACAAACAATCTAATCTTCGATGAAATTGTAAATTGTTTTCACATGAAAACAGAATCAGCAAGTTCTGTTCGTTAATTGCTAGATCCACGGCACCTAGTGCCAGGCCTATAGTAGATGCTCAATAGAATTTTGTGAAGCGAAAGCCATTCTCATTTAGGGGAGAGTCCTAATGAGGTGTTTCATATCAAATGGTCAACAAATGCTTTCAACTCTCAGTATTGAAATTAACAAACCATGTCCTCTTCAGAGCATTGACTGTCCTATTTGCCAAGAGTCACATCCTTAAAGAATTGAATAAACCGTCAAAGAAGGAGATTACAAGAGGGGTCAGCCAATTTGTTTCTAGATGCTTCCAAAGGAATGGAAATCAAATGCTAATATCTCCAAAGCCCTTCCTCCTTTTCCTCCTCCTCTTCCTCCAACCTGTTACCAAGGCTACCGGCCTCCAGGGAATTGTTCCTCCCTGAAAGGAGTTGTGGCAGTTGTTAATAAATACCTCCTGGGTGGCTCTTTTCTTCCCACCTGGGGTGCAAGGCTTCTTCCCCACTTTTTGGCCTCTGATCACTTAGGCAAGATACAGAGAGAAGAGGGGCAGGACACCCCACCTCCTCGTACACCCAGCTCTGCGCCCCCTTCCCTTTGCAGAAGTCTCTGTTTTACCCTTTAAATACAACTTTTTTCTACACCTACCTCCACATTTCTCAGGTGTTCAATCTTCACATCTGGGGAAACGGAACTTGACCTTCTGATTGATTTTCATCACCGGTATCAAAATGCCTTGATGAAATAAAAACCATACCCCACATTTATATTTGATAAAGTACTTACACTAGAAAAACGCAACATTCATTCACCGAATAGGCATTTATTCAATGCTTGCTGTTGACAGCACTGTTTAAGATAGTAGGAATACAGAGAAGGCCAGGACACTTTTGATTCTCAACTCCATGGAGTTTGCATTCTAGTGGGAAAGAGAGGCCAGATTACACACAAATAAAGGCATTGCAATGTAATTTTAGATACTGGTTCATGTTATGAATAAAATAAGGTAGACTTTTATGGGCACTACCTAGGTAACTGCTGTAGACCAGGTGCTAAGGAAGGGGTTGCTTTTCTGAAGAGGTGACTGTCCATATGGAACCATAAATGATGACATTTTACACTGTCTATGGTATTCCCTGAGTCTCCACTGGTCTAGTGAATAATCAATAATAATAATAATAATAAGGCCTGACTTGAGAAACCTAAGCTAAGAGTGAGACATTACCATTTTTATTTTCCTAGTTATTCACAAAGAGTCTTTTTTTAATTATTTCAGATCAAGGTCAAGCTTATTAGCCTGCTGTTTCTTTCATCCTTTTCTTTTTTGAAAGCTGAGATGTTTGTTCCTCCCCAGGGTTCTAGAAACACACACACCCCCACCCCCACTCCATGACTTTCTTTCACGCGACCATAATGGAGGAGCCCAGGATCTGGTCTCTTGCCAGGGCCCAACAGCTCTTCTCAAAATTTCTCTCAAACTTTAATTCTTCTTCACTGATTTTTAGTTTATCCATCTTGCTTAAATCTCATTCCCCTTTGGAAACAGAAAAGCAAAAATCAAAGTTGGGCAGCAGGGCCCTTTTCCTCTTTATTTGTGTAGCATGACATTGTCTGCCCCAAGCTGGGCCAGCCCTTCTTTGTGCCTCAAACGTAGCTCGCAAAGCCCTTTTGGCTGTTCTGAACAAACATGTTTCTTCTGAGAAATAAGCTCTCATTTGTCATTTTCTAGGACTTTTTATTTTCTATCTTTTGAGGTCAATTTCATCATCTGTTTAACGGTTAGTTTGAATCTTTCATTGTCTGATCACTAGTATGATCCCATACACGTACGCACAGACACACCAAACCCATTTTGGAAAAAAAAATAAAATTTATCAAAGAGGGAAGCCAATATATGTGTAGCTTTGTTCACTCCAGTGGCCTTGTCTGACTCTTCCCTAATTACAACAAAATGCCTAGTGGGCACGACGTGCCTCCAAAAATTTCTTTTTTTCTATTTTTTGAGCATGACTTTTGTTGGTCGAAACAAAGCACTGTGATCTTTCTGTTTCTCTCTGGAGCTTTCTTTCCTTCTGGTGTGATATTTTATTAAGATAAAAGGTGAACAGATTTTCCTTCATTCTTCCTTATAGAAGTTCATAAGTCAACCCAAAAGGATAATATATCTGGCCTCAGGGACATGGTCAGGCCTCAAGCATTTGAGTCCTTTCTTCCTGGCTCTCTGTCTCTGGGTCTTTGCAGAAGACCATCTGAGTACAGGAAAGAGATTCAATTTTTTAAAAATAAATAAAAAATAAAAAAACTTTCATGAAAATAGGTCTTTAAAATCAAGCTAAAATTAACTGAAGGGACCAACAACAGGCAAAAAAAGCTGGCTTTTCGTCATGATCTTTCAGCTGGAAGAAAGAATTTTAGCAAAAAGAACAATAAGCCACCCATTCCACCTCCGAGAATTTGTCCCCAGGTTCGCAGTAAATGTACCCACCAAAGACTTACCTTCCTGTTCTGCCAATCATCCAGGTTCATGCCCTCCATTCGCTCTCTCTCTCTCTCTTTTTAATGCAAGTAATTTTCGAAGCTCCAGAATTTTCTTTTTTTCATAGAAAAGAAAAGTCAGTCTCGGGGCACTTTGATCCTCCATACCAAAATCTGGCAGGTGAAACCGCATAAAATGTACTTATACGTGAACAAAAATGTAATGCAAACCTCAAAGCGGGATAACTACGACTATTTATTAACATCCTTTCTCTGGATGTTTCTTATCCAACAAATGAGCCTGTTGGTTTGATTTCACTGGGAAATAAGTTGTTCTTTTTAAGTTTTCCTCTCATCATGATGGACCCCCCCTCATCTTTTCTCGTTGCTTGCTTCCTTCTTTCATGGTGGTTACCCTTCTCAAGGACACCCTAGTCAGCCACCCCACAAAAACAAAGGGTGACCCACTTCATCAAACTCGAGGGCTCTTTCATCCTTCATTTCCTAATAAGCTGTGTTGACTTTTTTTTTCTTTTCTTTCTTTTTTTTTTTTTAATTCTTTTTGTAGTTGTAGATGGACAGCATGCCTTTATTTTGTTTATGTAGTGCTAAGGATCAAACCCAGTCCCTCACACATGCCAGGCAAGTGCCCTGCCACTGATCTACAACCCCAGCCTATTGACTTTTTCTTAATACAGATTTTTGTTTTCAATATTTTTTTTTAATTTGGTAATGGACTTTTATTTTATTTATTTATATGTGGTGCTGAGAATCGAACCCAGGGCCTCACACCTGCTAGGTAAGCACTCTACCACTGAGCCACCACCCCAGCCCTTAATCGGGATTTTGATTCCTCTAAAGCACCTCTGTGAATTTGGGGGAAGAGGACATAAATGTCAAAGTTAAGGTCTCCCAGGAAAAATTTGTAAAATCCCCAAATAAAAAGTGATCAAGGAAGGGCTGGGGTTATGGCTCAGGTTAGAGCACTTGCCTAGCATGTGTGAGGCACTGGGTTCGATTCTCAGCACCTCATACAAATAAATAAAATCAAGGTCCATCAACAACTAAAAAAATATACTTTAAAAAAGTGATCAAAAGTTTAAAGGGAAAATAAATGGTTAGGGTAGGAAAAATATTGCAAATGATCTTTGAGTTGTTCAAACAGTTGAGTTTACTCAATTGTCTGATTGTGAAATAAAATGGCACACTTTGTTAAACAGTTGCACCATGAGCTGTTAACTTATATCACAATATATTTAAGTAGTCTTAACAGATACAGGATTTTATTTCCAGTTTAAGGAACAAAAGGATAGTCAGTGTAGGTAATGACCAATTGGGCAGGAAGATGGGGGGGATGAGTCAAAGGAGATAAAAACATTAACTTGAGGACACTACCCCTCCTCCAACCTGTTGCCAAGGTTATCAGCCTCCAGGGAATTGTTCCTCCCAGCAAGGAGTTAATGAGTACCCCCTGGATGACTCTCTCCCTGTCTGTACCCCTGGCCAGCTTCCTTCCAACCCTTAGATCACTTTACCTGTTGGGTCACTTAGGCAGGTTGAGAGGGAAGGGGCATGAGAACAAAGGAAATCTAAAATCTATAAAAGGTGCAGGACACCCCTCACCCCCACGGGCACCAACGTGGACCCCCTGTTCTGTTGAAGAGCATCTCTCCCTTCCCTTCCCTTCCTCCCTCTCTCTCCCTCTCCCTCTCCCTCTCCCATCCTTTAAATAAAAGTTTTTGCTCTTGCCTCTTTCTCAGGTGTCCAGTCTTCAACACCCAGCGAACAGGAGTCGAACCTGCTTCTCAACACCAGTATCAAGTCTATGTTTCTCATAAGACCTACCGTCTTTGTAGAGTGGGTCATTTTTAATCCTCTTGTGACCTACCACTGGGCAAAGTATCATAAAAGAATAGCAAAGATTTCATGGTGTTGATATTGTAGCTCTTCTATTTAACATAGATGCCCTCTCTCTAGAGGTAATCTGGCTACCAGGTATTTCCCTATCTTTTAACCTTTAACCTTAAACAATTCAAGCCCCCATTGCAGGCACCAGAATCCCAGTGCCCTTTCTGCATGGGAGAAGAGAAGTCTCTCGAGAAGCATCCAGGGAATGGATGTATGTAACAGAAAAGAATTTCAACCAGGGCCAGACAGAGGCATAGATAGAGATTTAGTGAGGAAGTAGATACACAGTCAAGGGAGTGAGGAGCTATACCTTGGACTGGGAGTCCAGTATTTCTCAAAGGGCTGTAGTTAGGGGCCAGGTTGGAGGTGGAGTCAAAGTGAAGTTGCACAATTTCACACCATCTTTCCCTGATCTTTCAAATTTCTCTTATTTTACAAGGGCATGGGCCAAGAGCCTGTCACTCAAGATTTACAGCTGTGCTTTCTGTATCTGAATGGTTCCTGGGAGTTTCTCTTTTAAGACTTAGTGTATCTCTCTCTCTCCCTCTTTCTCTCTCTCGATTTATCCTAAATCCCTATCTCATCCCCACACTGATTTTCAGGACCCTGAACTTTTTGGACTGAATTGTGTTTCTCATCTTGAGCCTGCTTTCTTTACTCCATATTATACTATGATGAATTACAGGACATCTCCCCTCTTCCCAAGCCACCAATCTCCCCACAGGCTCCCTTTCCAGAATCCCGCACTGTTCTCCCTGGTTGTTCCTGCTGACTCTGCCCTACCTTCCAGGAAACTCATGATTCTTACATTTTTTCATACAGAACAGTTCACCCTTTCCTCCTCTGCCTTCCTCTCAATGTAGACTTGCCATGTTCAGTTCAGTGGCCATCTACTGAGCACCTGAAACGTAACTAATCCAAACTGAGATATGTCGTAAGTGTAAAATACACACCAGAATTTGAAACAGGTTTTCTTTTTAAAAAAAATTGATAAGTAATAATACATAATATGAATAATTTTATATTGATTATATTCTGAAACTACAATCCATGGAATGTTGAATGACAGCATATTGGGTTTAAAAGATAATAATAGATTGGATTAAATAAGAAATATTATTAAGATTCATCTCACTTTCCTTTTAAACTAATTTTTAATGTGACTAAGCAGAAAATTCAATGTTGCAAGCAGCATTTATCAATAATTACTCCAAGGCAGATTGTCTTTAAATGCAAGCATATATTCAATCACACCAATCATCACACATAACAATGAATGCAAAAAGTGTTGGGTGTGCTGGAGCATCCCACCTAGCATTTAATGCACATTAATTAACACCACGAGCAAATCACACAATCCTAGGGCAACCACAAGCCCCAAAATACCTTGGATGCCATGCAACTTCTCTTAGACAAAGGGCAGTTCTCTCCAGCCAGCGGTTTGACATTAGGAATGGTGGAGTCGACCTGGGCATGGACAGCAAGGTGGCCAGGCTCCCTGATGTCTTTGGAGCAGCATCATTGATGTGGCAGGACAAGAGATTTAAAAATAGTTCCAAGTTGGCGGTGTATGTTGGTGATTAGTTTCACCCAGTGAAAGTCAACGTCCATTGGTTATATCCTGTGAGATGATGTAATTGCAAAAGGGCATGTTCTTGGCGCATGTTCACGGAGCTATGCTCCCTATGGATTGTAACCAGTCATTGTTAAGTGTGCCTGTGGCTAGTGCCCCTTAGAGCTCCTTATCAGTTGCAACCAGACATGACTAAGCATGCCTATGGCTGTTGTTCCTTATGGCCAGCAACTTAGTGAGTCCCAGCATGTCCCAGCCTGTCTATGGCAGCTGTTCCTTACATTCAAATATGTGACACATCTGGTTTCTACTGGACAGGGCTGATCTAAACCCTGGGGCCTTAGTCTCCTATGGCAACACGGGCCAATCAAGGTTGTTTATTAAACACAAAGGTATTTTTAACCCCACAGATGATACGGTCAGTGTTTGCTCTGAATATCAATTATTTCCTTCCTCCTGCATAACATTTCAACCGTCCTTTGTGAAAATGTGTGTGTGTTCGCACTAAACTGGGTTTATCCAGGACAGCAATCCGTTCAGGGTGTTTGTTCCCATCAACTAGGGCCTTGGGATTAGCTAAGGATGAGATAGTCATCTTCAGGAAAGAGAACCACATACTTTACTCTGCAATTCAACACAATTAAGCATAATCTCACTCTTTCACCTCTCCTCCTGAATACTCTAATTTTCACACAGTGTGGTTCAGTGGATTATGATATTAAATTCTAATTCTCATTTTCAGACATTGTTGAAAATACTCAACGAACCCTGATGAAGAAAACTGTGTCTACTTTAGCTCAATGTGGTTTCTTTGGGGGAGGCAAACATTTGTGTGGTGAAAAGCCCGGGCTGAGCAGTTAGACACACCTTCATCTAAACCCAGCCACCTGAGCAGCAGAGTGGCCTTGGATGAGTGTTCTTAATCTCTCTGTGTTGGTTTTATTATCTATAAATGAAGATAATAGTGGTACTTACCAATGAGGCATGCATGCATAGTCTCCAAGATCTGGTCCCTTTCCTTCTGGGCTTTCCAAAGGATTGCATTTCCCTACCCTCTCATAGTTAGTTCTGCCCATGTGACTTGTTCTAGTCAATAAGATGTCAGCAGCTTTGACACCTGTCCCTTCCAGGTGGATACATTTAGTCACAGGTATTTGATATTCCACATCTTTCTTCCTAGGTTTAATGGATCATGGCAGGGTGTGTTGATACAGAAATGTAATACAATAGAAGCAGCTAGAATTTCTGAGCTGAAATACAGAGTGGAGTTGCCCTCCAGAGTTATCGGGGACCTCCATCATAACAGTCTTTATGTCAGCAAGACATAAGCACCTAATACACTCAACCACTGGGATTTGGGAGTTATTTATTACTGTTGCACAACTTAGGTGAACCTAGTTGATATGATAGTTGCATGGTAATGATTAAACAAGATTACACATTCAAAGGGTCTGCATTATCATCAGCATCTGGTACCTAATAACAGGGTACAAAATAATAGTTATTATTAAGTACTTTGCACATAATTAGGGTTCAATAGATGATCTCTTTTATTATTGTTGTTATTGGTTTTGCTTGTGTCTTGCTGCTCCTCCTCCCATGTCACAGGCTGTGACTGACCCACTGCAATTTCCATTGTTATGGAATTTATTATGATGGCAGAAATGTCCTGATTTCTTAGCACAGAATGTCTGTCAATTGGTATTTAAGGAAGTCTGACTTTGTTGTGATGTAACTTGCCAGATGCCAGTTGGCATCATGGCCCTCTTGTCAAGGCACGTCCTCTCTCTCTATCCTGGCTATAGGTCTCATTGCAATCTATCTGCCACCAGGTTTGAAAATTTGATCTTGCCTGGGAACAATGGCATATTTCTTCATTTGCCTTTGACAAAACGAGTAACTGCCAAGTAGAATCCACATTGTAAAGGGTCCTCCATTAGGCACAGAACAAAATGCCCTGACATTTCTCTCAGGAGCCTGGAGGCTGAAATTGAACTATTTATCGCTGTTATATGGGGTTTGGATGCTCAAAATAAGCACAGAGATGGAGTAATGTCCAAAGAAGGAAAGGAATGAAGTAAAAGTGTGGGGAGGAGAGTGTATTTTAAATATTCATGCATCAGTCCTTTGATAGATATATACATTATCTGATGTATTTTTGAATATATATTTGACGAGTATTATATATTTATATATAGTTGTATATGTTACATATACAATGTATGTATATACCATGCATTATATATTTAATAGGAGATATATATATATTTTTTTTTCTATTTTTGAACTAAGGACTTGGAAGAATAGCTAGTTCCCTAGAATTATTAGTTCTCTAAGTATCATACTATCAAACAAAGAAATAGGTATTTTTCAGTGATTATCAAAAGTTACATGTTCCATGCAAAGATATGGAGAAATTGTACATTGCTGATGGGAACATAAAATTGTACAGCAACTGTGGAAAATAGTATGATAGTTCTTTAAATATTAAGCACCACATTACTGGACGATCCAGCAATTCTACTTCTAGGTATATACCCCCAAAGAATTGAAAGCAGGAACTCAGTTACCTGTATATCAATGTTCATGACAACATCATTTACAATCACCAAAAGACTGAAACAACCCAAATGCCCATCAACAGATGAATGAACAAAGTGTCATGAATACATGCAACAGAATGTCATTCATCATTAAAAAGGAAGAGAATTGTAAGACATAGTACACAGATACTACCATAAGTGAAATAAGACTATCACAAAAATAAAAAACTCAAACGATTCTGCCTGAATGAATTACTTACATACAATAGCCAAATTTAGAGAGAGAGAGTTTTAAAATAGAGTAGTGGTTACTAGGACATGAGGAGAGAGAGAGAAATTGGGAGGTATTTTTTAAAGGGCGTAGATTTTCAGTTTTATAAGATGAGCAATGTCCTAGAGATGACTGTTGGTGACAGTTGTGTAACAATGTTGTTTTAGTCACCTTTTTTGCGGCTGTAACTAAAAGACCTGACCAAAACACCTGTATAGGAGGAAAGGTTTATTTAGGGGCTCACAGATTCAGAGGTCTCAGTCCGTAGACAGCAGGCTCCATTCAACAGGGCTGGAGGGGAGGCAGGACATCATGGAGGAAGAATGTGGTGGAGGGAAGCAGCTCACATGGTGATCAGGAAGCAGAGAGAGACTCCACTCTCCAGAGACAAATAGAGACCCCAAAGCCACGCCCCCAATGCCCCCTCCTCCAGCCACACACACCTGCCTCCAGCCACACCCACCTGCCTCCAGTTACCACTCAGTTAATCCTGTTAAGGGATTAATTCACTGATTAGTTTAAGGCTCCCTAACCACACATGAGCTTTTCGGGGACACCTCACATCCAAACCATAACAAATGTGAATGTACTTAACACCACTGAACTGTACCCTTAAAATGGCTCAAATGATAAATGTCATGTTAGCTATTCTAGCACAATTTTTTTAACGTTACACATGCCACAAACAAAACAGGTAGAAGCTGGCGAGCACTCTTCCCTGAAGCAGAAAGGGGACCAGCTGTGTCAAGAAAAGGAGGGAGATTCAGTGACACCAATTAAAGCAGGGCAGCCAGGCAATTCAGGGGAAAGTATTTTGACATTGAATTTAACTGCAATTTCCCAAGTACTGGAGGCCTTCTTCCTCCAGGGCCTTGACTCTTCTGTCCGGCAGCGTCGGGGAGTTCTCTCCAGCTTCACTTCAGAAAGGAGATACAGATGGTAGCCCTGCTTTCCTCCTTGTCTTCATCTCCTTGCCAATAAATGCAGTTTCCTTTCCAAGGCGCCCATGTTGCATGTGTCAGGCTTTTTCCGCACCCCTCTCCTTTTATTAATTTTTCTGTTTGAGACATATGGAGAGACATGTGTCGGTGCAGGCACAATTTCCTGTGCCACTGCCAAAGTTAAGGGCAGCTCTGAAACTTAGGCAATTGATCTTAGACCTGTGAAACGGCTTCAGAGGCTAGCAGGAAGTCTGAGAATACTAAATAAGATGGTATGTGGCCAGACTGTAGCCTGTTAAGGCCAGAAAATAACTCAGACCCTGTTGGCAAAGATACCCCATGTTAATCTGTGTCACTCAGCATTAAAAATACCTCAAGGCTGGACTGGGCATGTAGCTCAGTGGCATGTGAGAGGCTCTGGGTTCAATCTGTGCCACTTGAAAAAAAAAATCACTATGGTGTTGGTTGTACCAAGGGGGATAGAAAAAAAAATTACCTATTGATAAGAGGCATTCTGTGGAACATGGAAGCAGGTTACCAACAAAAAGTGGACTTTCTAGTGGAGAACCAATTGCAAAAAAGAGGTAGACCTCATCCGATCCATTTCTTGTGTGAAATAATTAAATATACATTCCTCCTCCTGGCTCTCACAGCTTCATGCCAATGGGGCACAGGATAGATCTCAGTCTCCAGGACATACTTGGTCAACCTTAGCATATGTGGCCAAATCTTACAACAGAAAGTAGGAAGCAATTAAAAAGGAAAGATCTGGAACCAGCGGTAGCTCAGTGATAGAGAGCTTACCTGGCATGCGCAAGTTCCTGGGTTCACTGCCCAGCAGCACAGGAAAAGAAAAATATAAACAGGAAAGATCTGCAAGATATATTTATTGTTGTTGTTTAGTTCATTTTGTTTGTTTTTGCAGTACTGGGAATTGACCAGAGCCTGTGCAAAGATACATTATAAAATAAATAAATAAAAGGCAAAGAAGAGTGATTTTTGTATTTGCAAGTACATGCATGGGATATTTCTGAAAACATATGCAAGAAACTGTGGGTCGTAAATGTGGCAGGTCTGAGGGTTGGAATTTCTGGCCACAGGTAAGTGAATTTTAGAAAATGGAATGGGTTGCTGAATGTGCTGCCTGGGCAGTAGTTACAAATTTGTTCCTCCTTTTTCTTCACTTCCTT